ACAACTTCATGTTGATTAACAATTTTTCCCCTTTTTTCTTTTCTTTCTTCTTTCAGATGACCATCTGAAAAAGAGAATTAAAAAAAAAATTTAATTTATTAAATAGATAATTCCTTTGATATAAAGCCAAGGATTTTTAATGATGGTACTCCTTTTTTTGTCAAGGAGTCTGCAACTTGTCCATCAGTTGGTATCCAAGAGAACTCTGCAATTTCCTTTCTGTCCAACATTTCTCTCAAAATGGCCATCTCAATGTGAAGTCTCTTGTCCAAAATCTGTGTTGATGAATGTACTGAGTCATAGAGACAGGAATTGTCAGTTTTGCATATGATCTTAATGTTCTCAGTTTCATCTTTTAGTTGCAGTAATTCCAATAATAGTTTTCTGTAAAACAGGCAGGCTTCTGACATATCAACCATGGCTAGAGTTTCAGCAGCCAGTGTACTTTTGACCACCCTTCTAATGCGCTTGGATTGCCATGCAATGGGCATATATTTATTATTATTTCCTACCAAAAAGAGTATATAGTCTCCTTGTGATCCTCGATCTGTCAAATTAGCAAAAGAAGCATCACTGTATGCAACAATTTTTAAATGCTCAAGGTTTCCTAAGTCAGGGATGTCTATCTGTGATTTTTCGTTTTTTGCTTTCTTAACTACTCTATTGGCTTGTTTTATACATTCTATATTTTGTTGTTTTAGAATGGAGCTTAATGCACTAACATCATAAATTAGATCAGGTCTTCTTTGGGTGGCCAGCCAGTAAAGTTGACCAATAACTTGCCTGATTTCAATAATTTCTGTTGTGGAAATTACATCTTTAAGGTTCCTGTCTGCTTCTACTGGAATATATTTTAATTTCTTTACATACTCGTTTTGTCCAAGTTTGATATTCTCATTATTCTTTTTTATATCTAATCCTATGTATTGGAACTCAGCAGTTTCTTCGGTTTTAACTGCAAATACATGACAAAGCCTGTCTATAACTCTGCTCTGAAAGATCTCTGATCCTGCAAAGCAAAAATCATCAACATGAGTAGCAATTATACCTTGCAGTTTGTTTCCAAAATGCCATGTAAATATTGCTTGATTATATTTTGAAGTTATTGCTCCTGACTTCATTAATTCCTCCTTGAGTGTTAAGTACCAGGACCTAGAAGCATCAGTCAAGCCATATACACATTTTAAGAGTTTCCAAATATGGCCCTGAGGTACATTGGCTTCTTTAGAAGGATCCAGATAAACCAGTTGATCCAACTGCTTGCTCTGCAGGAATGCTGTCTTTATGTCCATTGATCTACACATCCAATGGTTAGCTGCCATTATTGGCAGTGCTATGCGTAAACCTTCTTTAGAGCATGTGGGAGAATCATTCCTTATGTTGTTAGTGTCTCTATCCTGAAAGCCTCTTGCCACAAGTCTGGCTTTATAGGTTTGCTTGCCATTGGAATTTTTATTTGTTTAAATCCATCTTGTGGAAATTTTTGGTTGACCTTGGTCAGGTACTTGGATGTACACTTTATTTTCAACCTAGGTTTGGAGCTCTTTCTTTCTTGCCTCTTCCAGTTCCAGGTCATCATTAGAGGAGGAAATCATTATATTTTCCTCATCACAAGAAGTGTGTTCATGTTCAGTTTCCTCAACCTGACTTGTTTGCCACTCTGATACTCCATGCTCAAAGTCCAGCCTGTTCCATAACCACATTCATCAAATGCTTGCTCTTGCCTGTTGCTTTGTCTGTCCTACTTATGACATTTAATCTTTTAATTCTGAGGGGTCTGTGTCATTGGCAAGCTTGCATTTAATAGTTTGTCCTGGTTTAGGAAGCTCAATTTTCTTTGGATTGAAGTCCTGTCTATGTGTTCTGTCTTGTGCTTCTAAAGTCTCATGTTGCTCGACATTGTTGTTTATGGTTTCCAAATCTCCATTTATATCAATCTCTTCAGAAATTGGTACTTCTGGAGATTCTTCAAGCCTTTTCTGTGTGGTTCTAGGTACCTTGATGCTGTCCTCAGAAGAACTTCGATGTATCTCAGGTGCTAAGCAAGATGGATGTACCCTTACATATGTGCCACCATGTTTGACAACCACCTGCTTATGTTCCCACCCTATAACAGTTCCTGGACCAAGCCATCTATCACACAGGTTTCTTTTGTCAAGGACAGCATTGCCATTTTTGTAGGATTTTGCTATACCTGTTCTAACTTCTTAGTTTCTCCGAGGACTCACATGCTATGAATTGTTTCCTAGCAGCATGCATAGCATTTAGGTTATCTGCTACAACTTCACTGGTGGAATCACCTTCTAATGCAGGAAGTTTGTCATTTAGAAAAGCAGGTAGGTTGGGATTTCTGCCAAAAACAAGTTGTGAAGTGTATTTTTGGCACTTATGGTCCATGCAAGTGCTACCTCAAAACTACAGTTGGTATCTTCTATGGTTTTCTTTACCATTTCTCCCAATATCCCATTATGTCTTTCATTTAACCCATTGCTCCAAGGATTTTCAGCAGCAGTGGTATGTACCACAATGCTTAGATTTTGCGCCATATCCCTAAATGACTGGTTATTAAACTCTCTGCCATTGTCAGTGTGAATAAATCCCGGAGTTCCAAAATACACAACCCAGTGCTTGAAGATGGCATTAATGATGTCAGAATATTCCTTACTAGGAATCCTGACTCCACCACTGTATCTTGTACCATGGTCAATTAGGTGCAGTACCTTGTTGCTATTAATTTCTTTGGTGTCCATGGCAATGCTCTCATTGAAATAAGTTCCTAATGAGAATCCAACAATGGGTCTATGTTCAGCCCTTTTGTACCTCATGCAAATTTCACATGAATTAGGAAGTTCTTGTAAAATTTTAATAAATTCAGAATCTCTCATTCCAGTATTTCTCACTAAATCACATAGCTTTTTGCTGTTAGGGTGACTGAATTGTCTATGCAACTTTGTGGAAATTTTAATTTTCTCTAGTCTATTTTTACTAGAAATTTCTTTAATAAATAAAATTTGCTTGAACTTACCTTGGTCTGGTAGAGGTCTGCTAATAGGGATGTGGTACTGACCAGCATTGGGCCTTTTTCCCCAGCATGGTGACAGTATAATTCTCAAAATTGAGGCATGTCCTGGCTCTCTTCATCGAATTTTTGCTTAACAGAAGTGGTATGTTAGAGTCCACGATGTCAGTTATGAAACTGATTACAACTCTGGCAATGACACATGGTAGAGTGACTGTGTAGATGGATTTGAGTTTGTTTTCATCACCAAACTTATATGTCCTCACTCCGTCTTGAACTTTTATATTTTTTTTTGTTTTTATGGTATGATTTCAAGAGAACACTCGTACCATTTCTTTCCACAAACAGTCCCAGAGGCACCAGAATCTAAGACAGCTGAGCCAAGTGTTTTACCCAAAAACATGTTAGCGCCATCTTTCCTTTTTTGCTGACTCATCAGCATGAGGTTAGATACGAATACGTTTTCATTGTCTTCCTTTTTATGCAAGGTATCTTCTGCGTATGGACATTTGCGAGCCCAGTGGAATTTGCATCCATATGTGAAACGTTTAGTGGTGTTGCCTTCAGGTCCTAGTAAGTTTAAATTTTTATCAGTGGAGTGTGTTGAATTTCTGTTACGACCCTTCCAGCCATTACCTCGCTGACCGGAAAAGCGAGTAGTTCTGATTGAACAATGATTGGAAAATGTCACACTAGATTGCTCCTCCTGGTTATCCATGCTGGAAGCAACAGCCATTTCACTTTTCATCATGACTGGAGGAGTGGTGGGTGATGAAGCATTGCAATATTCAGAATCTTCTTCAATTGTTTAGACATTTCATTAAGACTAAGTTCCTTAATCGTGGCTTTCACCAGCCGTTCATTCTCTGGGGTGAGATTTGCGCTTTTTAATGCCCTGTACATGAGAACCTGTTCAAGCAGCGATATTTTGTATTCCTTTAATTTTGCAACATGACAAGTGAAGCAGATAAGAAAATCATCAATTGAATCAGTGCTCTGTCGTGTGTATTGCTCAAAGGATTCATACGCTGTAAAAGCCACCTGGTTTGCGTCTTCCAAGAAAAGTGTGTCCATTTTTTGGTATAACATTTCCATGCCATCATCTGCATTTAGAGTGGCAATGTCCACTTCTAGTACAGCTTCCCTGGCCTTTCCTTCCAAGGATAGAAGTACCACTGGGGCACATCTATGTATCTCTAAGCTGGTGGCAAGTCCCCACACTTGCATTTCTTTTTTCCAAGTATTGTACTTGTTCGTGTTTAAGGCAGGTGGGGAAATAAACTTCGAAGCCATTTTTCGGATCTAAACGCTCTGCTACCAATGTGAATTCAAATAAATGACTCCAACAATACGTGTGTATGGAGAAAGAATTTATTCAGCGACCTTCGAATACCTCATGGTGGTAACCAACTATTGCTACCCCTGCTTTTCCGCCTCAATCATACCTCACTCATGGAGAAGGTACAAGGGAGACAACTTCATGTTGATTAACAAACTATATTATTGATATTTTTATTATTGCATATTAAGGTTTATCAAAAGTATTTTCAATTTTTGCACACATTTATTCCAAATCTTGAAAATGTCAATTCCATGTCAATTCTTTTGTATGTACATATGACATAGGCATTACAAAAATAACCGAAAAGAAAGTACATGGAACATTTACAAGGATGCCATGTGCTGTTTTAAAACTATCCTGGATACAGCCTCCAGCCAAAAAAAAAATAAATAAATAAAACCAGCTCTACAGACATCTACCTTCCATTTCACATGTCATCTGAGAAAGACAAACACTATTCCAGGAGGAAATAATGATGAATTGATTAGTGATGTACACCAATGTAGAATTTCCTTTCAAAATGGACATTCAACCATTATTCAAAGATACAGGATTCAAAACGTGAAGACCAGTCAGGTGCCAGGAATACAAGGAATGAAGACTGGAGAGTGCCAGGAGAATCTATACAACCATAATGACCTGAGAGAGAGAGAGAGAGAGAGAGAGAGAGAATAAGAGAGAGAGAGAATAATAGACAGAAAGTAAAAAAAGAGAGAAAGTGAGAAAGATAGAGAGAAAGAGAGAGAGAGAGGGAGATAAAGTAAACGAGAGAGAGAGAAAGAGAGAGAAAAAAAGAGAGAAACAAAAGAAAGAGAGAAAGAGAGAGAGGCAAAATGAGAGAGAGAGAGAAAGAGAGATTCCAAAGATTCTCTAGTACTTCATCATATTAATCATGATGTTAACATCTTGATTGTATCATTATTTTCTATTTGAGTTATATGTTTGATCCATTTTAGTTGTTGCTGCTGTTGGTAGTCCTCAAGTGCATTGTTGTGGGATGGGTTCATGCTATTATAAATTCAAGTAAGTCTTTTTATGTAACAAATTTTTTGAGAACCCTAGAAATTTTACCCCTGAGGCAATCACCCCTCTAACCCCACCTATGCTGCACTACTGCTCAAATGATGTGGTTTCTGTTACTTGGTACAGTTCTTTGTGATTAGATATTACCAGTCAACAATGTTCAAGGAAGGATGATCTTTGTCAAAACCCTCAGCCTTCACTTACCCACAGTTTCTTTAAGTCTGTCAAAGTAAAAATGCATTTTATACACTTTAATATATAGTAATAATAATATTATATATTAAAGTGTATAATATATATTTTCATTTTGACAGCCATAAAAGAAAAGATTTTGTGAAAGTGTAGCCTGGGGGTCTTGGCAATGATCATTCTTCTTTGAATATTGTGGACTGGAACTACAGAAACAAAGAACTGTTCTAGATAACAGAAATCACATTACTTGAGGACTACCAACAGCAGTAACAACTAAAATGGGTAATACTTGTAACTGGAAGAGAAAATAATGACATAATCAAGATAGTAACCATTCCACACCACTTCAAATAAAAAGTTAGGAAGGAAATCCCCTATCAATAGTGGGAAGAGCAATAACAGCTACTGTACTTGAGAAACCGGTTTTCTTGAAAAATTGTTTTAGGAGAAGGATTTTATAAATTTCAACCAAAAACTGTACTGGCTGACTGGTCAATAAATGTCAAATGTGTCCTTATGAGGAAATGACTAATATTACTGTTACCATTACTTTAAAGCTTATTAAATGTATATATTTAAAGATTATACATGATGAAAGACTATCTATGACTTTACTATATTTTTATTTATATTATTATCATATATTGGGGTGTATCAAATATATTTTTGTTTTTTACAGACGTTTATAATAATAATAGTTGGCCACTTGTATTTGACGATACCCGTCTACTAGGGTGGCTAGCCAATCCCTATTGCAGACGCCCACTCAGGCACATTTTTGTTTGCTCAACACCCACAGAGCCTACCAGTGGTTTATACTGCAACTATGCTGAGCAGACCATAGTTACAGTTTCTGGGAGAGAGAGCATGTTATCAAGCATGATCAACAATTTGAACAAGGTCAGCATGCTCAAGCCCTCAGCCATGATGACTTGTGGCTTTGTGCTAGCACAGCTATTTGACAAGAGTTCTCTCTACCCAATTTTACTCACAAGGCTTGAGCCAAACCGTGGTATAGTTTTCAGTCTATTTCCAAAAGTGCTGCATGCTGGGATCAACTTCAATCCAGTCCGATAACATCAGGAAGTTGCCTTCCAGACAAATCGACCATAGTGAGATTCAAATGCAGGTCTCATGTTCAGAAAGAGAATGTTCTAACCACTCAGCCGCATATACAGACCTTCACCCAGAAGCATAATTCATGTACACATAAAAAGACTATCTATGACTCCACTATATTATTAATATTATTATTATTATGGTAAATCAAGTGTATTTTGGGACTTTCATAGGCTCTCAACCATCTAATCAATGCATCTATATGACTTCATGTTATTATTATTATTGTCAGATATTAGGATACTTTTTGCTTTTTATGGTGGTGGTGGTAGTGGTGGTTGTAAGTAGTGATGGTGGTGGTGGTGATGGTGGTGTTGGCAGTGATTGTGGTGATGGGGATGTAAGTGGTGTTGGCAGTGTTGTTGGTGGTGGTGGCAATGATGGTGGTGGTGATGATAATTGCCTTAATGGCTAAAATATTTCTAGTACAATTTTTAGTTCCCCTGGTACCTTTTACTTGGTAAAATAACAAGATATACCAAAGTTGCCTGTAGATTCTGCAGTTTAGTATGCAAAGAAAAACTTATATTTTTAATAATTTACTAATCTTGGTCCAAAGCAAGATAGAATGGAAAATAATTATAGACAAAGATAATCTTCATATAATTTTGAAGTATTGTATTTGCATATTTACTATTCTGAAATTAATATTAATCTAAGTTTTGAACCTGCTTTAAAGTAAGGATTTAGTAAAAAAAAAAAAGAAAAATATCAAAATCAGCTGAACTAAACCATCATTATTATTATTATTTTATTTCCTTTGATTTCTGGTGTGTACTCATTTCTTTCTGGGTCCCAACCAGAGACCTAAGGTCAGAAATAGCATCATGACATTTTCCACTGAGCAATTAAAAGAAACAAAAAAAAAACAACACATATTTTACATAGATAAAGCCCTTCGTAAGGTGTGGGCTATACTTGTGAGAACAATTTTTTGTATTTCTTTAATGCATGGGCTACCAGGAATCCCTTCAATGAATCTACTGGAATCTTTTCCAATCAATCCGAGGTCTTCAACTACAACAGGGATTGTTGATATTCTCATATACCACATTTCTGAGATTTTGATTTCAAGGTCCTTGTATTTTGATAGCTTTTTGAAGATCTTCAAAGATACATTGTAGTCTGCAGAGACTGCCATATCAATAAGGAGGCATTTCTTTTGTTTGCAGTCTAATAATGATGTCTGAGTGATTAGCTTTGATTTTTCTTTCTGTGTGTATTGTGTAGTCCCATAAAATTGTTACAGGTCCTATCTCTGTAACTGGGTCTGGGTGGGGTTCGTACCAATTTCTTTCAGTTTCCTTTCTGTAGAAGTTGCAGATTTTCCAGTGCAGATATTGGCCCACTCTGTTATGCCATGGTTTATATTCACTAGGTGCCAGTACTGTGCAACTTGATACAAAATGATCAATTGTTTCTGGATATTTATCACAGAATCTGCATTTTGAGCTAACACAATTTTTCACTATGTCTGCATGATAATTTCTAGTTAACAAGCATTGGACCTGTGCAGCAAGGATAAAACCTTCCGTTTCAGCCTTTAACTCTGAACTATGTAGCCACTGATGGGTACGGGGTTTGTCTACATCAGCTTGTTTGGTACAGGCAGAGTATTGACCATGAAGCAGTTTTTCTTGCCATCTTTTCTGTATCTGGTCGGTTGCATTTACTTTTGTTTTTTTTTAAGTATTTTGCAGCTTCAATAGGTGTATTGTGCTTTATTATTATTATTATTATTATTATTATTATTCATATTTCAGTGACTCTGCCTAGTTTTATCATGTTTATCTTTGAATTCCTTCAGTGCTGTTGTTGTTATTATTATTATTATTATTATTATTTATTTTCATTTTATATAATTTTCTAAATGACAGACTAATCCCAAACTGACCAGAATATTTCTTTAAGATATCTTTGTTTTAACAAAAGCTTCTTTGCAAATTTACTCTGTTATCATTTTGGTTGAAGAAAAAATTCTCAGACAAAAGAAAAATCATTGTGATGAAATACAATTTCTTAAGATAGATCAAGTATTTTTTTTCCCTCAATGTATGTTACAATTCACACCATTTTAGTATTGCAAGTTTTTATTTTCACTTGGAATGAGATTCTTTACAAAAAGAATCCTTTTTATTTTTTTGTTTTGGTAAACATTGCTTGTGCTTCCAAAATAAAAATATATTTCTGATTTTGTTACAGAAAAAGAGAAAGTATGCTTGTGACAAAACAAAAAAAATCAGTTACTTTTGCATAAATAAGATTTTGCAAAAGCTTGATGCCATTTTTTCCCCTGATTAACATACATTTGAGGCACCACTTCGGCAAAACAGAAGAAAATATTATTTGCTTACACAATCAATGTTTTGTTTTTAGCTTCATACTGATATTTTTATCTGTTGGGTATGAAAAAATTTGTACATGTAATATTCAGAGGCACATAATATGTGTTAAGAATTATTTTAAAAAAAGTAATGAACAGCCCAAAATGCAAGCTATGCATTGGGGATGAAAAAATCAAGCAAGTACAGAAATTTAATGACCAGGGAAGTATTTTAACAGATGACAGAAAATATGACACTGAAATTCAAAGGCATATTGATATCGTGAAAGATACCTTCCAAAAGCTAAGCAAAGAAACAAGAGAATTTCAGTAGAAACAAAGTAAAAAGTGCTGAACAGCTATGTAATATCAATTCACCTATATAGCAGTGAATGCTGGATAATTTCATCACAGATAAGACAATAGAGATTTTGGTTCTAGAGAAGGATGCTAAGAATACCATAGATGGTAAATGTGAACAAAAAGGAAGTTTTTAGGTTAATGGTAACAAAAAGGACACTTAGAATAAAAATGAGAGAGTTGAATTTTCTGGGACACATAATGGGGAAGAAGGGTTTGGACAATACTGAAAGCCAGCGGAGTGAGTAATCTACCTAATGAATAGTAGAATAGGGGGTGGGAGAGATAGTACATACATTCAAATATTGACTGACAGATTTTTTTTTAGCTTTGGGAACAGGATAATCTTACTTCTAGATGAAGGATGGGATTGGGCATATCCTGATGTCTGCAGCTACTACAGGGTTTTGAAAGACATATCTTGGGATTTCCTATTAAAAAACAGCCATATGTTATAGTAGATACTGTAAGAACAGACACAAAAACCAAATAAGTATAAAGTCTATTTTTTTTAAACAGAAGACATAAGAAAAATTATTAAAAATTATGGCTCCTTATCAAATTAACAACAACAAATCAATTATTACTATCATTTCTTTTCACTAACCATACATGTGGCTAGAAATAGGGCACTTTGACATGGTGTAATGATTAACAAGCTTGTCACGCTAGATTAATAATGACTGAAGAGTGAATTTAATCCTCACTGAGTGCCCCATGCTTTTGGCATTGTGCCACATCTAAGCTATGCTTAGAAAATCACCTTTGGGCACATCAATTTGGTGTAATGTTTAGCAAGCTTGTCCCACTAGATCAATTACAACTGGAAAGTGTGCACTATACTTTCAGCCTTGTGCCACACTTAAGCTATGTTTAGAAAATCACCAATGAGCACTTCAACCTGGTGTAATGGTTAGCAAACTTGTCCTGCCAGATCAATTACATTTTTCTTTCCAAGTATCAATCATACCATCAGGAAATGACAAACATGTACAGTTAATACAGCTACTACTGTTACTACTACTACTACTACTACTACTACTACCACTATCACTACTACAACAAAAACTATTAAAAAACTTGTCTTCTTTTTATTATTCTATATGCCACGGACCTTCAGGATATCGGCAATCATGGCTCTCCAGAAATTTCCATTCCTTGTGGCCCTTAACAAATTTCTCCTTTTGTTCAGCCCCACACTATCCACCATCCATTCACAAGACTTGTCAGGTCGGATTGCTGCCTTCTTCTATCTCTCTTGCCCTCAGTATGACCTGTGAAGGTTAAGTTTTCCAAGCCTTCCTTCCTCATTATGTATCCAAGAAATTTCAGCTGTTTCTTCCTGATTCTGAGCATAAGTGTTCTTTTTGTTGCCATTTTCATTAGTCATACTAAGTTTTTTGGTTGGCTGTTAGATTTCACATTGCAGTAACGATTAATTTGCTGACACTTTCATGGCCAATATTTTTTTGCATACCAAAAAAAGTATTCTATTTCTAATAAAAACATAATAGTAATAGTAACAATAATAATAATAATAAAATGTTGGTCTACAAATAAAATTCTGTGCAAAAAAAGACAAGACAGTTTTTGTATATCAGATTGGAAAAGTTACATGTCTTGGCATGAACCAAAATAACTTATAGAGTCATGTTTAACTTGCTGTGAATTAAATGGTTAACTCATAAGAACAATGCATCAAGCTACTGAAGATATGAATAGCATTTCCCATTGGTCTATGTATTTGTGTGTAGGAAAAAAAAGTGAAAAACAAATGATTAGTTAGTTATTTTGTCCAACTAATTTTTAGCATTCTATATAAAAGACAAAAATTGTTCTTATGAAAACAGGAAAAATCAAAATGAAGAATATATTTTAATGCTTGAAAAAATGTCCAGTGAAAATATCCTAAATTAAATTTTTTGTCTTAAAAGGAAAACAAGTTAAATACAAAGAAAAACTGAATATCCTATTTGAAAATAAAATATTAAGTTGTCCCAAAAGTTCGTAAAAACTTGCGAAAAATTGAATTTTTGTGCAACACAATCCAGCACAATCGAGACAAGCGATGGGTTCAGAAAGGACAAGAGACACCGTTGGTTCCAAAGCAAGATCGATTCGGCAAGAAAGTCATGTTGTGCGTTTGGTGGAACTTTGAAAGAATCGTGCATTTTGAGTTGGTTCCGAATGGTCGTGCCATCAGTGCTGAACTTTACTGTCAGCAACTGGAGCGGGTGTACGAAAAGTTGAAGCAAAAGTACCCGGCTCTGATCAACCGAAAGCGCGCTTTGATGCAGCAGGACAATGCCAAGCCACACACCGCCAGGAAGACCAAACCAACCTAATATCTCAAGTTTATTAGTAAGATTTCTGATGACACAATAGATTTATAAATATGTGTGGATAGCATAATGGCTATCAATGGATTAAGCTTAGATGTGCAGAGGATGTAATGGATAATGACTTGAAATTATTAATCAGAGTGCTGAGTTCCAATTCCCATGGGGTTATATTCACTTACATGCAAATACCCTTGGGAAAGGTATAAATCCAACTATTCTCCCCAGCTCAGCTTTGGCATAATTAGTAATACCTGTATCACTAAACTATTATTATCACTGAAAAAAAATTTCTTACAATCTAAAATATTTTCTGGCTTTAAATAACCAGCTTAAATAACCAGCTTAAATAACCAGGTTGATAAGTCATAGAAAATGAATGAATCAATAAAAACAATCCCCAGGTGTGTTAAATAAAGGTAGTTTGGGTTCGTAAAGGCAGAAGGACGCGTATGATACAGTACTGATAGCAGACACGGAAAGGAAATTACAAAATCTCCTACAGAAGGTAGCAATGGAGAGTGCGAAGAAAGGACTAAGTATAAATTACAAGAAGACAAAATGCATGGTCATCAGTAAGAGGAAAAGCCTGAAATGTGATTTGCAGCTTGGGAATACTAGAATCAAACAGACTCGGCAGTTTAAATATCTGGGAAGCATCCTGACAGAGGACGGTAAATGTGACACTGAGATCCATAGACATATTGGAATGGCCAAGTATGCATTCCAAAAGCTAGGAAGAGTATTGTGAGACAGGAGGATTTCTTTGGTAACAAAGAAAAGGATACTGAGCTGTTGTGTGACATCTGTCCTTTATGGCAGCAAATGATGGACGATTTCCTCAAAGATGAAGCAGAGATGTGGTTCTACAGAAGGATGCTAAGGATATCATGGACCATGCAAGAGGTCTTAGAAAAGATGCAAACAAGAAGGCTTTTATCAGGAAGAGGCAGCTGAAGCTATTGGGACACATAATGAGGAAGGGGGGCCTGGAGAATGTGATACTTATGGGTCGAATAGAGGGAAAGAGAGACAAGGGAAAACAACGCATGACATACCTAGCAGCTTTAAGCAAGAGGATGACAGAACATGGTCTGGGGGAGATGGCAGAGGGAAGGAACTTGTTGAGAGCTGCAAGGGATAGAGGGAGGTGGAGAGCCATGATCACCGACAGCCTGAAAAGACACGGTACATAGAAAGAAAGAAAAATTTGGGTTCTCTCATCTTGGGCAGCACCTAATCTATGCGTACAACAACTCAGATTATTTTTTTTAAACATTTCACCCTGAGTAAGGTGATACAGCCTCTAAGATGCAGGAGTTACTGAGAGTGAAAGAAACTGAGAAAATATTGAGGAGACACAACAATAAAAGCTAGAATTCAATGAGACAGATGATGATGACTGGTGTCGCATTTAAATTTTTGAAGACTGTGCCCCAGCCTTCATCATTTGATTGGAATTTTGAACTGAACCCTTTATTTCGTCCATCGGGATAGATTGTTCTAGTTCCACGTTCCATGCTTCTTCAAGATGTCTCAGTTACCTCCCATTAACTCAACTCTTCATGTTTTTGTTCACCACTTTGGGTCAACACAAGTGATCCAACCAACACTTTTATCCACTGGCCCACAAGTGAGATAACTTAGACATCCAGAAGAGGCATGGCACATGGAACTAGAACAATATATCCTGGTGGATGAAATAAAGGGTTCAGTTCGAAATTCCAATCACCTGAAGAAGGTTGGGGCATACAACGGCCAAAACATTGTGAATAGGACAATGAAGAAGAAGACAACAGTCCAAAATTTGTAAATTATGTAAATAATTACACTACCTTATCTCAGATACACTCTTGGGGCGTGTATCATAGATTGGGTCGGGGAACAAAACCCTTGCACTGACACTGTAAACACACGTCTATTTTTATGAATATTTTCAAATAATGTTTGTCTATATTTCTAAGATGAGGTATTGTAAATATTTACAATATTTACTTTGTTTGAACAGTTGTCCTCATCTTTATTGTCATATTCACAGTATTTAAGTGAGAAAATGAAAAAAGATGGGAAGATAGAAGTGTTTAAAATTTGTTTCTGTGAAATGGAAAAAGTTGTCAATTTCAAATGTTTTCATTTGTACCCACTTCTTAAAATAATGACCAGCATTCATATTTTTGATTGTTATTGCAATATTTTGCTAAAGTTGATAAGCTCAAATATTTAATGATGTGATAGGGGAATTTCTATGGACCTTTTATTGTTATAGAACATAACTGTGCATATTCAATCATTCACTGAAGAATTAAGATTCATCAGAAATTTCAAATAGGAAAACTGTTAACACTAGTTATTATTATTATTATTATTATTTCCTTTGATTTCTGGTGTTTACACATTTCTTTCCTGGTCCCACCCAGGGACCTAAGGTTAGAAATGGCACCATAACACTTTCCACTGACAAAAAAAAAGTTACATAGATAAAGCCCTTCGTAAAGTGTGGGCTGTACTTGTCAGAACAATTTTTTGTATCTCCTCAGGGCATGGACTTCCAGGAATCCCTCCAATTAGTCTACTGCAATCTTTTCCAACCAGTCCTAGGGCTCCAACTACAACAGGGATTGTTGATGTTCTCATATGCCACATTTTTGAGATTTTCTATACCAAGGTCCTTGTATTTTGACAGCTTTTTGAATATCTTCAAAGATATATTGCAGTCAGCAGGGACTGTCATATCAATAAGGAGACACTTTTTTTGTTTTGTGGTCTTTAATAACAATATCTAGGCAGTCCCATAGAATTGTAACAGGTCCTATCTTCGTAACCGGGTCTGGGTGGTATTCTATAATTTGTGTTTGTCCCTCACTTCATTTGGTGGTCCAACCATTACACCCTGTCAATACCTCATAAATATTGGACTATTCCACATTTTGATTGCATAGAAAGAGAGTTAAAGAAATTTTTTATGTTTGTGATGAAAAAGTAGACAAAATATTAAACATAAAGAAAAATAATAGAAGAGGCTTATTTATTGGCATACTC